AACGCAAAATGTTTATGTTTGTTTTTGGAGCAAACATTTTTTTGGGTTTGCTTTCATGTCGCCTAGATGCCAATAAGCTAAGAAAATCCACAGTAATTTGCAAAACACTGAGCTAGCTTTAGAATGGCTTATACAAATGGATACATGTATTAGTTTAAAAAAAACAACATACAAATTTTAGAGTGCAGTGTGAACATTAAAACTTTAAAAATATATAAATTACAGGAGCCATCTCAGAGTCATCAATTCACTACTTACAAGGGTTTTGGAAAAGGAAGACAGATAACAGCATCTCATGTCATTTATTTATGTGTGATCGCTGTACAGCTTTTTCACAGCACACTATGTACCATAGGCACATAGTTACATAGATAGTCAAGTTGAAAAAAGTCCATTTAGTTCAGCCAATAGATTTAATAAAAATGTGATACATAAATAGAATTTCTTCATATACAGTCAGGGGCGTCCCTGGGGCTGGTGTCACCTGGTGCGATAACACTTGTTGACACCCCCTCCGACGATCCCCGCAGAATGGATCGGATCTGCGGATTGAGCATAATGGATCAAACTCTGATCCCATATATGCTCCCTAATCCGCAGATCCGATCCATCCTGCTTTTTGTCGGCATGCAACCTATACGGGGTGACACCAGACCCGCTCCACGACAAGGTAAGTTGTAAAGAAAGCTGACGATCCCCGCAGGATGGATCGGATCCATCCTGCGGGGATCGTTGGCTTGCTTTACAGCTTACTTTTTTGTGGAGTGGGTCCGGTGTCACCCTGTGCGGTAGGTGTCACCCTGTGCGGCGCGCACCCCCCGCACCTGCCTCCGGACGCCACTGCAGGGGTGTATTTACCACAAGGCAAACAAGGCATTTGCCTAGGGCAGCATATTTCAGGGGGGCAGCATTTCACTCCCAGAAGAAGGGAGGGAAGAAGGCACACACGCGTCATAGGGACCAGGTGGGATCTAAAGGAGGCTGCGGGCTGTTTGACAGTGTATGCAGAGCCCGACTCTCATTCCCAGGGATGTCCAGAGCTTTGCCTCTTATCAGTTTGGTTGCCCTTCTCTGCAATTTCTTCAGTACCCCAATATCCTTTTTAACTGAACTGCATGTTCTAGAGGAGGTCCTACCAATGTTTTGTACAGGGGCAAAATTATGTCTCTCCTTCTCTACCTCTTTTAATACAACAAAATATTTTGCTTGCTTTAGAAATTGAAGCTTATGATGGATCGAGTTAATAATAGCATGCAATCCTAACACCCAGATCCTTCTCCACTCTGCCTAGGATGTACCATGCATGTTTGTGGCTCCCAAGTGCGGACCGTTAAATTTATCAACATTAAACCTTATTTACCACATAGCTATCCAAACAGTGCATTAAGTTCTTCTTGAAGGTTGGAGACATCCTGTAAGAACATAGCTTGGTCTGATCTGCAAACACAAACATTAAACAGTAAGGATCCAAATATTCAGGGCTCAAAATTTCCACTCACCTACTCGCATTTGGTGAGTGGAAATAACGTGGGGGCAAATGTGTCCCAGGCACCACATCTAGGGTTGCCACCTGTATGGGAATTACCTGGGTTTCTGGTCACCCGAAATCTGTCCTCGGGATGCAGCCAGCCAGTGAGGGAATCGTAGTGTCAAAGTGATTCCTGTCGGCTGCACCTGCCTATCCTGTGTCCTCTCTGCCTTCTCCCCCTGCTAGCAACCAATGACGCCTTAGCTCGGCTGCTCTGCACATATGTGATTGTCTGTCCTAGAGCCAGTCTGCCTCCCAGCTCCACCCCTTAACTCTGGTTCCTACACAAGGCTGAGTGCTCTCTTGCCTGCAGCGGTTCAACCAGAATCCCTGCCGCTCCTGTCGGTAAGGCATTATTCAGAGGCATCCAATAGAAGTCATAGAGAATGTGGGTCACTGATATAAGGGGGGGGGGTCTCTCTCTAATGGTGGTCTCTAAGGCAGTGGGGGGACAGGGGCACTGACATAAGGGGACTGTGAGCTAATGGGAGTCTGTAAGGTGGGTTCTGATATAAGGTGACTCTGATATAATGGGTGCCTCTAATGGAGGATGCTGACTGCTGATATAATGGTTGCTGACCAACCATTAGATCAGCTGTCAGCACCCCCCATTATATCAGAGTGACCTTATATCAGCACCCACCTTACAGACACCATTAGATCAAAGTCTCTTTATATTGGCAACCCCCCCCTTGAGACCAGCGGGGTTTGCTTATATAAGGGGACTCTGATCTAATGGGGGTCTGTAAGGGGGTTGCTGATATCCACGCCTCAAAAACCTAAAAATGTTTTCAATTTTAAAAATCTGAGTACAAGGGGGAAGGGGGGTGGTTACAACTGATGTAAGGGGGCACTGTGATGGGGACATCTGATGCAAAGGGGGACACCTGATGTAAAGGGAGACTCTGATAGGGGCACCTGATGTAAAGGGGGACTCTGATGGGGACACCTGATGTAAAGGGAGACTCTGATGGGACATTTGATGGACATTTGATATAAAGGGGAGCTTGATGGGGACACTGATGTAAAGGGGGATGCTGATGAGACACCTGATGTAAAGGGACTCTGACTGAAACACCTGATGTAAAGTGGGACACCTGATAGAAAGGGGGACTCTGATGGGGACACCTGATGTAAAGGGGGATACCTGATGTAAAGGGGGCCTCTGATGGGGACACTTATCTTCCTTTTATGTCTACATTGCTTTATGTTACTATTGTTAAAGTTGTTGTTAATATTTATTTTTGTAACTTGGTTGGTTCTGCATTAAACATTTAACAGTGTCATTTCATGAGATAATTTACGAGGGTGTGTTTAGGGGTGTGGGCAGGGTAGAGGTTGGGTGGGGAAACTGGTGGCAAGTAACTCTTAAGGCCTGGCTAGTAGCTCAGGAGTTGAAATTTTGAGCCCTGCTTTATACTGCATAATTTTAAGTAATTCAGTTTAATAGAGACAATCGTTTTGCAGCAATATGCAGTCAAATGATACTATAAAAGTAGGCAAATTTAAAATAGGTAATAATGAATAGGTACCTTGAAGCAAATAACAATGAACCACTGGGTGCAGCATTATAGATTATATCAGTGCTTTCAGAGGGTGCGGCACAGGCTGTGGAAAGGAAGCCTGCCACCAATGCAGTCAGGCTGCACACAGCCACAGGAGCAGTATTTGGGAGGAAAATAGTAGTTCTACATGGGTTTAGATGAGACACTCCTGGGTGGGTGATAGATATCTTTATGTGGGTAGGGAAAAGTCAGTTTATGTTTGAGGCTAAACTTTCTGCCAACAATGGTTGAGGCCCTTTGACACTTGAGGTATTAATGCTAGTAATTGAGTCAGATCTGCATGCAATGAGCATAAAGTAGCAAGGTTGCCATTACTGAGATGGGGTAGAGATGTCTATCAGTGTCCACATATAGAAAAACACAGAGTAAAGGTTGGGCAAACTGCCTTCTCACTAATCCTAATTGAAAATAGGACTTCCGTGCAAGAAGGTGAGATGAGCATCAACAGTAGGACTGAGTGGTGCGTGCATAGTGGGTTGCAGTCACCTTGGTAGGGAGGCACCATAGATAGCGATCAGTGTGGATGTCTCCGTGCCTCCGGCTGCTGAGGACAGCAGTGTAGCTGGGTGTCTGGCACTGGGATGTGTGGTGTCACTGAAGCTCTGGTGATGGTGCAGATAGATTCATGAGTTTCTGCATAGGTGAGGCTGGATTGCTGTCTCTCTGCACAGTTGCTGGCAGAATAGTGGCACCTGATCGACCTCTCAGATGTCCCTGGGTCAAGAGAGCAAGCTCGCCAGTAACAGTCACATTTATAGACGCTCCCAAAATCCCCTGTTGTTCTAGATCCCAGGGAGTTGTAGTTCCAAAATGGCTTCAGGCTTCAGTAAATGTTAGTTGTGGATCTATAAATCCCAAAATTATTATTATACAGGATTTATATAGCGCCAACAGTTTGCTCAGCACTTTACAATATAAAGGTAGACAATACAGCAACAATACAGTTGAATACAAGAGGGCTAGGAGGGCCCTGCTCCTTGGAGCATACAATCTAAGAGGGAGGGGCTGGTAGGACAAAAGGTAATAACTGTGTGGGATGGACTGGTAGGAGGAATAGAAGATTCTGTTATTAGCTGAAGGCAGGATAGGCTTCCCTGAAGAGAGAGGTTTTCAGAGATCGCCTAAAAGCGTGCAGAGTAGGCGATAGTCTGATAGATTGGGGTAGAGAGTTCCAGAGGATGGGGGAGACTCTGGAGAAGTCCTGGAGACAAGCATGGGAGGAGGAGACAAGGGAGATAGAGAGCAGGAGGTCTTGGGAGGAGCCGAGAGTACGATGTGGGTGATATTTGGAGACAAGATTGGTGATGTAATTTGGGGCAGAGTTATAAATGGTTTTATATGTTATTGTTAATGTTTTGAATTCTCCAAAATCCTCCACTTCAAGACAAGAAGAGCGATCTCCCTCTAGAGACAGGTAATGATGCAATGACTTTGTACATGAGCATGTGGACGAAAACAGTCTATGGTTATTATTATTATTATTTTACAGGATTTACAGTGAAGAAAATAGGTATTTTTGATCCCCTGCTGATTTTGAATGTTTGCCCACTCACAAAGAAATGATCAGTCTAAAAATCAAATGGTAGGTGTATTGTAACACTGAGAGACAGAATAGCAACAAAAAATTCAAAAGAAATGCATGTCTAACAATTTATGCACTGATTTGCATGTTCATGAGGGAAATAGGTATTTGATCCCCTTCACAAAACATGACTTAGTACTTGGCGGCAAATCCCTTGCTGGCAATCACAGAGGTCAGATGTTTCCTGTAGTTGGCTACCAACTACTAAAACATCAAAACCAGCTCAAGGACTGGTTGCTGTTTCCTGGATGCAAGTCTGAATGAAAATATGTGTTGCCCGGCTGTGCAGGACTATAGGGGGACCCAAATCATCAGCAACTCCTAAGGGGGTAGTGCCAGAGGTGGACTGACCATTTGGAAACTCGGGCACTGCCCGAGGGCTCGGGGTCAGTGGGGGGCCCCATGAGATGCCCCTGGTACCTTTTGCATAGGCTTTTTTGAGTTTGGGCAAGGACACAGGGGCCCCATGGTCCCCTATTGCCCGGGAGCCCCATGAGTTGTCAGTCCGCCCCTGGGTAGTGCTACATGTGAGAGCTCCTATTGCAGCCTGTATGGCCATTGCCCCTAGAAAACAGCAGTCAATGAGCCAAAGAGCACTGCTGTAGAAGAAAAGTGTCAAGGAACTGGAAAGAAATCTGTACTGTGCTGTGTCGCTTTGTAACTGTGACTGCTGTTGTGTGTTAAAGAACCACGCCTAACGGAAAGTCTTTATGCTGGTCTACAGATGGTCTTTACCAAAGACTATGCTCTGTATGTGTCTGCTAACAATCGTATAATGCCCACCACCATTACCGTCCTGCTTGCCGTTGTCCAGAGCAATTGGAAAGGTCCATCAGTCTGCAAATGTCCATTTGCTGCTTAACAGGTGGCTCTTACAAGAGACCATGTATACTGCATGTCTGCTTATGACAGCAATGCCTACAAGTCTTAATGCTGCTCCATAGGTGGCTACAATAAAAGACAATGTTCTGCAAATACCTGCATCTTACAGTAAAGTGTGCTCTGTTCATACACCACTCCTCATTGCTTGTAGCAAGCAGGGAGGGTTGCGGCACTCAAGTGGACTACAAATGCCTGGTCACACATCCGTGGCTGAGGCCTGTGCTCTATTGACAGTTCTCAAGTCTGCTATAGTCAGCGTTTGCCACGTGTTTGTGCTTGTCATTGTCCAGAGCAACCAGAATGGCCTACAATCTAGTGGATTACAAATGCTCAGCTGCCCTGTATCAGTTGAGCCCAGTGACTCTCCCAAGTCATTGGGAGGCCAAAAGCTTTTTCTTTCTGAAGGTCAACCGGAGTAATATGCCAGAAATGCCAGGATAGTAGAAGCACCCCTCCCCCAACAAATGACCCTTTTTTGGAAAGCAGACATTCCAAGGTATGCTAAGGGGCATGGTGAGTACTTTGCAGATCTCATTTGTTGCCACAAGTTTTTGGAAAATGAAGAGAGAAAATTAAATTTTCTTCATTTTCAAAACCCTGTGACAAAAATAATAGCTGTTAAATACTCATCATGCCTCTTATCATATTCCTTGGGGTGTCTGCTTTCCAAAAAGGGGTCCTTTGGGGGGTAGTGTTTGTACTATCCTGGCATTTTAGGGCCTCTGAAACGTTGATAGTTAGTGAGGAAGTGATATTACTAAATATGCCCTTTGAAAGCCTGAAGGTGGTCATTGGGTTCTGGGGGGTCTGTATGTGGCTAGGCTGCCAAATAGTCTCTCACATGTAGTATCCCCATACTCAGGATAAGTAGCAGAATGTGTTTTGGGCAGTTACTCTACATATACCCATGGCATGCATGAGCCATATATAGTTTAAGTGACAAAAAAAGGGGGTCATTTGGAGGGAGGGGGTTGTACTGCCCCAGCATTTTAACACCTCAAGAAATGTGATAGGCAGTCAGAAAGTAAATGCTGCATAATTTCCAACAAATATATATATATATATATATATATATATATATATATATATACCATAGATTGTAGATGCTATAACTTTCAAACAAACCAGTTAATAAACACGTATTGCGTTTTTTTTTTTTTTTTTTTTTTTTTAACCAATGGCATGTAGTAGAATATAATTTGTCCTAAATGTATGACTAACTTTGAGTTTATTGGATATTTTTATAGAACTGAAAGTAGAAAATATTGGGGTTTTTTAATTTTTGGTCTTTTTTCATTTACATCACAAAAAATAAAAAACTCATGTTGAGGGCATGTTGCCTGGTATGTTTCAAAAGGGGGTGCAATGGGTTCACTGAAGAGTCTGGTATGGAATTTGGAGGGGATCTCATATTGTTTCCCCTATCAAAGATAAGGGTCTGGTATGAACTTTGAAGAGTAACCCCACGAGTAACCCCAAGAAGAAAAAAGCATGAATACAAATTAAAATGGAAAAAGAAGTGGCACTATAAGTGGTTACAGGGTATTGTAGGGAAGTATAACGTGTTTTTTTTATACACTGCTCAAAAAAAATTAAAAGGAACACTTTTTAATCAGAGAATAGCATAAAGTCAGTTAAACTCCTGGGATATTGATCTGGTCTGTTAAGTTGCAGAAGGGGTTGTTAATCAGTATCAGCTGCATTGGTGTTAATGAAATTAACAACAGGTGCACTAGATGGGCAACAATGAGACGACCCCCAAAATAGGAATGGTTTCATAGGTGGAAGCCCCTGACAGTTTTCTCCCTACTAATCTTTTCTGACTGTTTTTCACTAGTTTTGCATTTGGTTAGGATCAGTGTCACTGCTGGTAGTATGAGGCGATACCTGGACCCTACAGAATTTTCACAGGAAGTCCAACTCCTTCAGGATGGCACACCAATGCGTGCCATTGCCAGAAGGTTTACTGGGTCTCCCAGCACAGTCTCAAGAGCATGGAGGAGATTCTAGGAGACAGGCAGTTACTCTAGGACAGCTAGACAGGGCCGTAGAAGGTCCTTAACCCTTCAGCAGGACCAGTATCTGCTCCTTTGTGCAAGGAGGAACAAGATGAGCACTGCCAGAGCCTTACAGAGTGACCTCCAGCAGGCCACTAGTGTGAATGTCTCTGACCAAACAATCAGAAACAGACTGCATGAGTGTAGCCTGAGGGTCCGACATCCTCTAGTGGACCCTCTGCTCACTGCCAGGCACCATAGAGCTCGATTGGCATTTGCCATTGAACACCAGAATTGGCAGGTCCACCACTGGCGCCTTGTGCTTTTCACAGATGAGAGCAGGTTCTCCCTGAGCACATGTGACAGACGTGAAAGGGTCTGGAGAAGCCATGGAGAATGTTTTGCCGCCTGTAACATCATTCAGCATGACCATTTTGGTGGTGGGTCAGTGATGGTCTGGGGAGGAATATCCATAGAGGGACGCACAGTTCTCTACAGGCTAGAAAATAGCACCCTCACTGCCATTAGGTATCGGGATGAAATCCTTGGACCCATTGTCAGACTGTCCAGGAGCTCAGTGATGCCCTGGTTCAGATCTGGGAGGAAATACCCCAGGACACCATTCGTCATCTCATTAGGAGCATGCCCCGACATTGTCAGGCATGTACACAAGCAGGTGGAGGCCATACGAACTACTGAGTACCATTTTGATTTGCTGCAATGAAATTTCAGCCAACTGGACTATCCTACTGCATCATTCTTTCACTTGACTTTGAATTCAGTCCTCTGTAGGTTGATAATTTTAATTTCCATCAAACAATGGGGTATCCTTACATTCCTAACACATTACCCAGTCCATATCAGCATAGGTATCCAGCATATTTTTCCCCATTGAGATCTGATGTGTTTTCAATGTGTTGAGCAGTATATATATATATATATATATATATATATACATACACACACATACATACAAAGGACTGCTGGATGAGCAGCCTTGAAAATGGTTGTAAAGTCAAACTATTTTTTTTACCTTATTGCATTCCCTGCATTATGATACAAAATGCCCCACTAACTATTCCCTCCCCTCATTTCTAAACACTTACCTGGCTCCTCGTGTTGTTCCAGAACTGCTCTCCTCTCTCTCTGGTCTCACAGTAAGACTCTGTGTACAGCAGGAGGCAAATCCTGTAAGGAGGAAGTGGGTGGCATGGCAAATGGATACACACAGCCTGGCTAGGAAGTGAGGCCGCATGGCTGTCTCTTTAGCACCTGGCTTGATAAGGGGACACTTGGAGGAAGAAGGAGCAGACAGTGCCAGCGAGGGACCACCAAACAGGAGGGGACTGCTCTGTGCAATATTGCTGATATAACCTCTTTTTTTGTTTTAATAAAAGCCATTAATGCAGCCTTTCTCAAGCTTTTCAACACAGAGGAACCCTTAAAATATCTTTCCAGTCTCAGCGAACCCCTTCTACAAATTGCTATATCTACAAATAATGATACATTAATGTGACGGTCAATGGAAGGAATGCTCCTTACACTTGTGGTCATTGGGAAAAAATTGCTCCCTTACAGATAAGTAAAGAATAGAATTACTCCCTTACAGTTAGTTTAAAAAAATCAGTGGTTTCAGCAGGACATTATCTGACAGGCATAAATTGCTCATTGCTCAAGGAAACCCTAGTAACCTTTGGGTTCCATGGAATTCTAGTTGAGAAACTCTGCTTTAACATTGCTTTAAAAGTGTGTGGGCTGGAACTTTGCCAAGTGATGATTTTTTTAGCTATGCGTTATGGGATGTTCAGTTGACCAAATTCAACTGAATGTTCCAAAAGATTGGATTGAATATCACATACTGCCCTTCCCAGACATTGCAGATCACAGAAAGCAGTGGAAAAGACTAGGTGTGGTCAGGTGCATGGTGACAAGCATGTGTGACACTGCTGATAGTTACCTCCCAAAATGCAAAATGTTCTCATCATATTGTAGTGAAAGCAGACCTGCATACGAATGGCAAATTCGCTCTAAATACAGGAACAGTGCAACATCATTGTCACACCATCTTAAGTTTGCCAACAGTTTGCTCAGCGCTTTACAATATAAAGGGAGACAATACAGCAATGATACAGTTCAATACAAGAGGGTTAGGTCCTGCTCCTTGGAGCTTACAATCTAAGAGGGAGGGTCTGATGGTACAAAAGGTAATAACTGTGGGGGATGGACTGGTAGGAGGAATAGAAGATTCCGTTATTAGCTGAGGGCAGGATAGGTTTCCATGAAGAGATAGGTTTTCAGAGATCGCCTAAAAGTGGGCAGAGTAGGCAATAGTCTGATTGGGGTAGAGCGTTCTAGAGGATGGGGGAGGCTCTGGAGCAGGGGCGGACTGACCATTTGGAAACTCGGGCACTGCCCGAGGGCCCGGGGTCAGTAGGGGGCCCCATGAGATGCCCCTGGTACATTTTTCATAGTTTTGTTTGAGTTTGGGCAAGGACACAGGGGCCCCATGATCCCTTATTGTCTGGGGGCCCCATGAGTTGTCAGTCCGCCCCTGCTCTGGAGAAGATCTGGAGATGAACATGGGAGGAGGAGATAAGAGAGTTAGAGAGCAGGAGGTCATGGGAGGAGCGGAGGGGACAGTTTGGGTGATATTTGGAGACAAGATTGGTGATGTAATTTGAGTTATAAATGGTTTTATATGTTATTGTTAATGTTTTGAAAATTATTCATTTGGCAATGGGAAGCCAGGGGAGGGATTGGCAGAGAGGGATGGCAGATATGGAACAAGTAGTAAGGCAGATGAGTCTGGCAGCAGCATTCATGATAGACTGAAGAGGGGTAGCCTGAATAAGGTAGGCCAATGAGGAGGGAGTTACACTAGTTAAGGCAAGAGATAACCAGGGAATGAATAAGTTGCTTAGTAGTTTCCGAGGTTAAGAACGACGTATCTTGGAGATGTTGCGCAGGTGAAGTCTACAAGATTTAGACAGTGATTTGATTTGCGGCTGAAAGGACAAATAGGAGTCTAGGACTACACCTAGTACCCTGGCATCAGGGGAAGGACTGATGGTTGTATTGTTGATCGTGATGGAGAAGTCAGGGGAGGGGGCACGGGCTGGGGGGAATATTATGAGCTCAGTTTTAGAAAGATTGAGCTTGAGGAAGTGGAGTGACATGCATGCCGATATGTCACTCAGTAGCAGGAGCGGACTGACCATTTGGAAACTCGGGCACTGCCTGAGGGCCCGGGGTCAGTAAGGGGCCCCATGAGATGCCCCTGGTACCTTTTTCATAGGCTTTTTTGAGTTTGGGCAAGGACACAGGGGCTCCATGATCCCCTATTGCCCGGGGGCCCCATGAGTTGTCAGTCCGTCCCTGCTTAGTAGGTTATGATTATTAGGTGAACTCCACTGGCAGGCTTAGCAGGTATTTGTGGGACTTAAGCTGCCATACATAGATCAAATTTCAGCAGGAATCGGACGATTTTCAATCCATGTATAGGCATTGAGGTTGTACAGAAGTCGATCTACCGATTGACTTCTGTACAACCACCCTAATTTTCCTCGCTCAGTCAGCACTGCAGGCTATAGCCTTCAATGCTGATCAGTGTATTCTGAAAGCAGAGAAATCTCCCCGATGTCAGAATACAAAAACTCAGTGGGGAGGATTCAAGTCATTTTTTTTTCATTCAACGCGCTGGTTGAATGAATAAAACTGTATCATCTATGGGCTTCTTACGAAAAAACTGTAAACAATATTTTTTCTTTTTAGATTACCTGTTTATCACTGAGTGTGAAAGTGAAAGAAAATCCCCAATTTTGGGTTGTCTATAGAACAGGTAAAGAGGGGAAATCTTCCAATCTTGACACTAGTTCTGGTGACCCTGGAAACATTCCTCACTTTGGATGAATTTCTACTCACTTCTTGGTGTTGATATTGGACAGGAAGTGAAGATAAATCTCCCCAATAGGACACAGACTGCAAAAAAGAAACTGACAGAGATTATATACCTCCCTTACTCTACCCACAGTTTAAGTTCTATATAAAGATAAAAGATTTGTACAGGGATACAGCTATTGAATGTTTAAGTTTTTATTTCTATGTTGTGCACAGTTTTCTAAAAAAAATATTGTGTGAAGATTTATGTCAAATTAATATTAAATGTTCATAGTAATCTTCAACTACAGGTTATCAATTAAAGTGATATGTCATTCATCCTGAGAGCGTGTTCATCTCCCTGTGGCATTAGAAGCTTGTGGAATATTACAGTGTCTATGACCATTATAACTTCTTTCAATTGCCAGGAGCAGAGAGCCCTCTAGCGTTTGTAAAAGTAGTATAATTAAAAACATGTTACACATCAACACTCAATTAAACTGTTGTTTTATTTTTTTAGGAAACCCCTATAAACACATGATTTAAAATACTTAATGGGAAGTGCTAAAGCTTAATATGTCAAAATTAATTTCAAACAATCTACTTTTCAAATGGAACCATAAATTATACATCAGCCATTGCAACATGGAAATATTACAATATTTGATATTTAAAGTTGTCATTCTCTAAATGGTTCAATAAAAGCCTATTTTAATTGGTTAAAGTGTATGTAACCCCTATCAATAAACTTATTTGCTTTTGGCCAGTTAAATATACAATTAATGGTCTTTTGTTTTATCTAAATATACAGCAACCAGTATACACAGGGTTTTTGTTTGTCAGATAACAGGTGCAGGAACTAACCCTGGTGGTGAGGAGGCACATTGTGCATGCCACATCATAGGGTGGATGTGGCCTAATTGCACTAAGTATGGGCAGGTTTTAAAGGGGCATTGTTAACCTTTGTACCCAACTGTCCACAACTCACCTCTGTTTCCCATCCAAAGCTCACCTCTGCACTCCACCATCCAACTCTGCATATCTGATCTGCACCCCCATCCACAACTGTCCACAGATGACCTCTGCAACTCAGTCCCCAACTCACCTCTACACCCCCGTCTGCAACTTACTTCTGCAACCCCTTTCCACAACTCACTTCTACTGCCATCCCCCATCCCTTCTGCAGCTCACTTCTTCACTCCCTGTCCACAGCTTACTCTGCACACTTTCCCCTTCCATAGCTCACCTCTGCACTCCACCATCCAACTCTGCATTTCTGATCTGCACCCCCATCCACAACTGTCCACAGATGACCTCTGAACCTCAGTCCCCAACTCACCTCTACACCCCCCTGTCTGCAACTTACTTCTGCAACCCCTTTCCACAACTCACTTCTACTGCCATCCCCCCATCCCGTCTGCAGCTCACCTCTTCACTCCCTGTCCACAGCTTACTCTGCACACTTTCCCCTTCCATAGCTCACCTCTGCACACCCATCTACAACTCACTTCTGTAGTGCTGTCTGCAGCTCACCTCTGCACCCCTGTCCTCAGCTCACCTCTGCACCCTCCCACCCTGTCTGTAACTCACCTCCCTTGTTTGCCACTCATCTCCGCATCCCCTGTCTACAGCTCACCTCTGCATCCTTCTTCTACGCAGCCTATCTCTGCAACCCTTCCCCTTCCCCAAAAGCTAAGATCTGCGGCCCTCTTCCTCAGCTCTTTACCACAGCATCCCCCATCCATATCTCCCTTCTGCATCCCTTCTCTCACCCCCACAGCCCTCACCTTTGCACACTTTCCCCTGCTTCCACTGCCTTGCTTACTTCCCTAAAAAACACCTCTCTGCAACCTCCCAGCTCTAGTACTACCTACAGCTTGCATGCACACTCACTTGAGATTCTGTCTCCCTCCATTGTCAAGCAGTGGCAGTGAGATTATCAGGCAGGGGCATCGGCTTCAAGGCACCAGGTGGCAGCTCAGCATGCCATGGCTCTTCTCCCAGCCATAAACACACTGTTCATGGGCAGCTGTCCTTTCCTTGTTGCAGCCATAAGTGCAGCTCCAGGCAGGGCAGCTCCAACCCTATGTGGGAGCTGCTGGAAGAGATGCAGGCTTCTGTGTTTACAAGTGATAGTAGATAACAGTGACCATAGTGCTGGAGGGGTGGCGGAACAGAGTTCCACCATATTCCAGCTAAACAAAAGCCCTGAGTATATATATGTAGCGCTACTCCTGTAGGAGCCGCAAATATACTGTCCAGGTCTTCCCCAAAAGCTTTGCCCCGCAGGCAGGCACAAGGGCTCATTTATTCATTTCTTCAATGACCAGTCTAGGGGTGGTGTTTTTATTTTTGGAGAGGGAAGAGGGATTAGGTGGGATACTCCAAAAACAAGAACTATGTGCAACTTGAGGTATTCTTGAGGATAAGCTATAAAAAAGTCTGTGCTTGCAAGAAACAGTGGACTTCAGCTTCAAGGCAGTAGTAGACATAGTACACCAGCCAGTGTCCCCTCTAACTAGACTCACAGCTGACTCCCTAGCGCTGAAGGGGTTTTAGCAGCATACTCAGCAGTTTCTAAGATCCTTTAGAAGTGTCTGTATTCACAAGGCTCAAGGACAGCTGGCTGTCTTCTTCTGTGATACCAGACCAGATCTTCAGTAGATGGCCCCTCAGTCAGCTCTATCAGAACCCAGGTCTCCATATTCAGGCCCTCAGGTCACCCATCTGAGGCCTAAGAATTGCAGCAGCATTGCCTGGGAGGGCAGCATGCCTCCTCCAGGCAGGCCCAATCCTATACAAGAAAAGACCCCAAGCTTATTGTGCTCACTGAATATATATTGTACAGTATCCTAGCATCACAGTGGCTAAATGGTTAGCACTTCCGCCTGGCAGTACTAGGGTCATTGTTTCAAATCCCAGCCACGGCACCACCCGTCTGGAGTTTGCATGTTCTCCCTGTGCCTGCATGGGTTTCTTCCGGATACTCCAGTTTCCTCCCACTCTCCAAAGACATGCTGGTAGGTTAATTGGATCCTGTCTAAATTAGCCCTAGTATGTGTATGTATGAATGTAAGTTAGGGACTTTAGATTGTACACCCCTTGAGGGCTAAGGACTGATGTGAATGTACAATATATATGTAAAGCACAGCATAAATTGACGGCTCTATATAAGTACTTGTAATAAAAAATATCATCAGAGTCTGCATCTCTAGAATAGGCAAGGGCTGTATCACTATTACATAGTTACATAGTTAGTCTGGCAGAAAAAGGACAAAAGTCCATCCAGTTCAATCATAAAGAAAAAAAAAAATTATAATCCTACACCTACATTTGATCCAGAGGAAGGCAAAAAACCCAGCAAAGCATGATCCAATTTCCCCCTGCAGGGGAACAAATTCCTTCCTGATCCACTGAGAGGCAATCGGATATTCCCTGGATCAACTTTACCTATAAATGTTAGTATCCAGTTATATTCTGTGTATCTAAGAAAGAATCCAGGCCTTTTTTAAAGCAATCCAGGGAGTTGGCCAGAACCAACTCTTGAGGGAGTCTATTCCACATTTTTACAGCTCTTACTGTGAAGAAACCTTTCCGTGTTTGAAGATTACATTTCTTTTCCTCCAGATGTAAAGAATGCCTCCTTGTCCTCTGTGATGACCTCAAGGTGAATAACTCTACACCGAGTTTACTATATGAACCACTGATGTATTTATACATGTTGATCATATCCCCCCTTAATCTCCTCTTCTCAAGAGAGAATACATTCAGTATTCTTTCATTCAGTAATCTTTCCTCATAGCTTAGCTCCTCCATGCCTCTTATCAGTTTGGTTGCCCTTCTCTGTACTTTCTCCAGTTCCCCAATGTTCTTTTTGTGAATTGGTGCCCAAAACTGAACTGCATATTCCAGATGAGGTCTTATTAATGATTTGTACCGGGGTAATATGATATCTCTCTCTCTGGAGTCTATACCTCTTTTAATACAAGAGAGGATTTTGCTCACTTTAAAAACCGCAGCTTGGCATTGCATGCCATTATTAAGCTTGTGATCTACCAGAACTCCCAGATCCTTCTCCTCCATTGATTCCCCCAGTTGTACTCCCGCTAGAAATGCTGCCATCTGCATAGCTCCACACTTATGATCCAGAAGCTTCTCAAAAGGGCTCTGTACTATCAGCAGATGGATGGGGACTGTGGGATAAGGGTAGGATCAAAGTAGACAGGATCAAACAGCCTTTTACACAATGCAGAGGATTAACCCCTTAGATTCCACAGTGAGTATAACAAGAATGCAAAAGCTTAATATGTCAAAATTAATTTCAATCAATCTACTGTTCGAATGGAACCATTAATTTTACATCAGACATTGCAACATGTAAATATTACAATACTGAATTTGATATTTAATGTTGTTATTCTCTAAATGGTTCAATAAAGCCTATTTTAATTGGTTAAAGTGTATGTAAACCCTAACAATAAACTTATCTTATTTGCTTTTGGCCTGTTAAATATGCAAGTAATCGTCTTTTGTTTTATATAAATATACAGTACACAGGGCTATTTTGTCAGAGAACAGGTGCAGGATCTAACCCCCCTCAATTTCACCCGGGGGGGGGGAGTGGTGCATTGTGCTTGCCACATCATAGAGTGGATGTGGCCTTATTGCACTAACTGTTCCTCATCCAAAGCTTACCTCTGCACTCCACCATCCAGCTCTGCACCTCTGATCTGCACCCCCATCCACAATTGTCCACAGATGACCTCTTCACCCCAGTCCCCAACTCACCTCTACACCCCCGTCTGCAACTTACTTTTGGACCGTCTACAACTCACTTGTGCTGCTTCGCTCCACCACCACCTCAAATTCACCTTTGCACCTCTGAGGCCTAAGAATGCAGCAGCATTGCCTGGGACTCCTCCCAGGGGACTGTGGGAAAAGGGGAGGGTCAGAGAAGACAGGATCAAACAGCCTTTTTAAAAAATGCAGAGGATTAACCCCAAAAAAGAATGCTTTACTGCGTTTACAGACTGATTTTACTGTTGTGGGTTTAGTAACACTTTAAGTATTAGGGTTTGGGTGTTGAGGGGAATAAGTG